AGGTCGTTAAATACTCACGTTTGGTCAGGTCCCGTGTCCCATTCCCCGAGTGAACGCAAGCCTTTGAAGAGTGATTCAATGGGAAGCAATCGACCGCCCAAACATCATCAAACTTGTTGCTTCCCGCGTGTCACGACATATTCTGTGGCCGATACGCCTTGCTAAATTGTCCATGTTATATGTTTCCACGGCAAATCCAGCATCCACTGCTGCATACATAATCAAGGTTACATCCAGAATCGTTTCCCCCAAGTAAACGCTCGCGGGAGCGACTTTTCTGAAATCGTTCCCCCAGTGACTACAAGGATCCAAACAGAGCGGCGGCGACTAGGGCATACGGGAGTAGCAGCCCTCGTCGTCGTCGTCGTCGTTGTAGGGTAGCGGTAGAGGTACAGATGAGGTAGAGGTAGAGGTAGAGGCAGAGGTAGAGGTAGAGGTGGAGGTAGAGGTGATCATCATTATCACAAAAACTAGTATCAATAATAATAATAATAATACTAATAAAACACTGGCAATAGTACTAACAATAGTTCTAAGCATATAACAAGAATAATAGATTTTCATAGAACACATTCTTACAATCTGTAGGTCGTGCAAAGCAGCGTCGCCGACATGGATCCTCCTGACAACAATCCCCTGGACGGCGCTCTCAGTCCCGCGCTGATTTTGCGGCCGATGTACGGCACCGCGTTTTGAGACATGCTGCGGCGGCCCTTGCAGGAAGGGGACGGCAATATGATGCGCAAAGTGCTGGACTCGACTGACCTGGAATTCAAGCGATGGCCCAGCTGGCTGCCCCAACGGCACAGCAAAAGTCACTTGCTAATTGGTCTCATATTGATTGACCGATGGGGCGTGGTGAGAGCCGCGCCTCTCTCGTCTCGCCTTCTGTATCTACGCTTTGAGGCCAAGAATGGCTGCGGAGTACTGCCGTGCCGCCGTTGTACAGAAACGAGCAACTTATTATGCTGCTCATCACATGGCCTGCGTTGCCGATATCGAGAATTCGGCTCCACACATCCACATACCCAACAGCGAAATGACGGCGACAGCCACTTGACAAAAACAACAAGGAGAAATGTCAAATCAAATCCAGGCCCAACCACCCCGGACCATGCCTGCGCCACGGCACGGTCCAAAATCCCTCGAACCCTCCCCTGTCCTCCAGCCTGATCTTGGGTGGCCTGCGAAGTTGTGACAGGCTCAAGTCCTTCAAGCCCCTGCACAGCAGAGCCTGAGGCAAGCGATGGCGTTCACCAGAGAGGGGCCATCCAGAGGCACGGCACCCTCCTGCCATTGATACAAGAGCATGCCAGTGTGTCTGCGTCGGGATTTGGTTCCTGTTGTGGAAGAGCAACGCGACGGGCCTTGGCAAGCTCCTGCTGCACCTGCCAGGTGGAGCGATGGCAAGCTGGAGGACGCAGCTGGACTTTCAGACCGTACCAGAGAACTTTTTCAGGTTTGCAAGGCTTAAGATCGACAGGAGGCTTTTGGATCAAGTAAACCATCTCGGTGTAATGCAATGCAGCACGTGATTGTCGCCTGGGAAAGCCATGGGGCAGCGTCCACGCTGTCTCCTGACACGGACACGGCGATCCATCTGAGGAAGGTCGCGAGGGAAGGTCGCGCAACAAAAAACTTGCCCCAGGAGGGAGCTCTGCTGCCGACCTCCAGTCTCGAACGCGACGTGGTGAAAGCCTGGCGGCCGACATGGTCCAAATATCTCTAAATGCTAAGAGATGGGCTAGTGCGCGCGTGCCTTCCTTACTTGCCCTACCGTAGGATATCACATAGGCTCTCGTGCGCATCGCCTAGCTCCTCATGGCGGAACATGACTGCACTTCGGACAGAAGCCCTGCTCGCCTGTGTTTTGAGCCCGCTGCACACCGCACGACACCCAAAAGAAATGAGCACGGTTGAGTAGCTGATGGGCGATGCAAGTTGCTCGGCTGCCCCAGGCAGAAGCCGCACACACGTGCTTACGCTACTTCGAGGTCTGTCAGGCGTGCTTCGCCGAAGGGCGATGGCGCCGGACAATTCTGAGAAACCTCCCCATTCGGGGAGTCTGGGTATTTCGATGGGGTGGCCGCACTTTGAGACCACACCAGCCAGCAAGCAGGCTCGAGAGTAGCACTAGCGTGAAAAGGTTGTCTTGGACGTGCTCGAAGATACAGACGGTCGCACCATGAGGCATGCGACAATAGTAATCGCTCTAGACGTCTGCAGAGGATACATGCACAAGGCAACGTTGCAAGACGGCGAAAGAAGCTGCACCCTCTTCGAGCTACGATGATTGCCGACAGGCGCCTTGCAAGTGAATTGGGCTTGCCTCGGGCTTCACAGGAGGTTCTGCTGGTGGTTCTCGGATTTGAGGAACGAGGCCCGCAAGCAAGCCGAGTGTGGAGTCAACCCTAAGCCTAAGACATGCTTTTGGGATTGACATCCTCCCTACTTCATGAAGCCGAATACCGCCCGGCAAATAGCAGACCAGTGCCCTCGCTGCTGGAAGAGTCGTCAACCTTGCGGAGCGATGGCTGCAACGGATCAAGATGGGCTGACACTAGCACTGCAGCGGGCATGAATCCCAAGCTTCACGAATTCTGGTGTTCGCATGGGTTCGAGTGTGCTGAGCCGGGGTTTTCATTCGCATGTCTTCTGGTATCCTAGGGGCGGTTGAGTTTGGAAGCCTAGCTATGCTTCTCTGCTGGCTGCCATCGCGCGTTAGTTCTGCAAATCTCAGTCGGATCAGCCTGCGAGCAAGGTGTTAACGCAACTTGGGACCACTTTCCCCAGCCTGGACATGTGGAGCCGGCTTGAAGCGACGGGCCTGTTGCAGAAGGCGCGAGAGCTTCGGAGTTGCTAGATCCACCTACTCGTTGAACAAAATTCCGAACTCAGGCAACCCGAAGCCCATGTCGGCCATGTGGCACAGGAAGACTGCAACCCAAAAAAGGGTCTGCTGGCTCGCTACCACGGAAAGAGATCGGCAGTTTCCCCGGCCACGCCTGTGCCACCACTGAGCAAGCTGCCAGCAGCAGAAGAGCGCAAGCCTTGAGATGGCTCTTGGGAGCTTTCTTCTGCGGGCCGTAGCTCTCAAAACTCCCGTCGAAGCCATCTTCGACCCCTGACATTGATCTGGGCTGGCAGCGGCAGTGGGAATTGCTGTCCAAAGCCATGCGACCTGGTCGATTGAATTGCAAGACGGTATCATTCACTCTACTCTACTCTCCTCTGCTCTACTATGCTACATTAACTATAGGATCAAAAGACTATACTATTATACTATCCCACACTCTACTATACTAGACGGACTAGACTACTATGCTGTACCTTGTTACTCAACTTTCGGCCCTGCGATTGCAGGGTGTCCCCAGCAAGTCAGCTCCTGGCCTTCGCATCGGACACGTCGTGATTGAAGCGTTTCAGGAAGACCATGGGCTTTTCCTTGCCATGTCTCATCCCCCTCACTCAGAGTGCCTTCACATGGGAACCACTACGAGTAGCCAGACGCCCTTCTGCGCATGGAGTCTGCTGCTTCCGCGAGTCTCAAAGGATCAAGTCGCCGGTTCAATAGCAGAAACGACGAGGTTTTGCAGCACGCTGAGTTATCGACTGTTGTCTTTGCACGGATTCTATGAGTCTCAGAATCGCCGCAGGTTCGAAAACCACACACCGTTCCCAGCGCTCGCTCTCGCCATCTTGAGCGTCCCACTGCTTTCATCTCTGTGTCCAGAGTCTGGCCTGGCTGCTACAGCTCTCGAGAACACCGCGAAGGCATCCAAACGGCAGACCCAAGGCCTACCGGTACTTGAGCGAGCTTCGATATGGGTAGTTCAAAATTATGGTCCCTTTTGGGGTACCCTAAATAATAGGTGCCGTATTATAATAAGGACCCAAAAAGGGACCATAATTTTGACAACCACCCATATGCTTCAGGGGGTGTGTTGAGTAGTATAGCGTACGTCCCAGACCTGCTCCTGCGATGCTTCCGCTAGGTTGCCAAACTGCCAAACATCCTGAAGCCACGAAATACCTCATGAGCTCCAGTCGGCTTTTGTTCGAAAGACTCCCTGCATAGCTCCCTCCCTCTGCGCCTGTGCAGTCATGGACCTTCGCTGACTGACAGTGCGTGGTGCCCACCAAGGCGGAGGGGCATGTCCTGAAACAGCGAGGCTCGTGGCTCCGGCTCATGGTAGCAGCTACTCTGCAAAGCCACTACGTCACTACAGTAGCAACTATAAGTTTGAAAACTCCACCTGAATCAGAACAATAAGTTATAAGAGAAGATTGGTGCACTCAACGGCAGCAGCAGAGTACCGATATGCTGATATGCTCTAGCCAAGCTCTGCCGAGCCCCCTTCCTGAGCAGCAACTCTTGCGACAAGACTGGGCTCGACACGAACCATCTGGACAGCAGTCCAAGCCGGCGCACATGACATGCCTTAAGCCAGCGGAAAGATGATCAGAAAATGAAGATGCAATCTGACATCTCCTCCGACAGGTTCTAAACTGCATCGCGATTCTGATCTTTTCAAGTGCGTCAAAGTCAAGGCTCCCTTATTCTGAGGAGTCGTTGTCGTGATTATCTCTCCGCTTACAGTAGTAGGTCTTCGGTCTTGGGTGTGTTCTCAGAGCCAGGTACCACGAACAACTCTCTCCTGGGCTGCCGGCTCGTGGCCAGGGCAGGGCACACTGGCCTCGGTGGAGCGTGCAAGGAGATCTTTCCGAGGGAAGCTGGAAAGAACCCCAAAACAAGCTGTAAGGATAGCTTTTAAGGTCGAAGTTCCGAGCCCTTTGAGACGAAACGCTTCGACTCCTTACGAAAGCTCAGCCTGAGCAGCCGACCCCAACAGAACAGGTGGCCTTCCCGACGATCTTGGGGGCCTCCATGCCTTGGCATCCATGCAGCGGAAACGGCTCATGGCATCGGAGACTCTCCATTCCATTCCCAACTGACTTTATGCACACCACACTGAGTTCTGGTGTCACTGGTTCTACTATACTTGCACCGAGTGTACTACTAGTGTACGATTGCTCTCCGGCGGCTTTTTCCGGGAATGTTGTGTGCGAAGCGTCTGTGAAGCGGCTCCGCCCTTCTGTGTGAAGATCGCTGGGCGTGGGACAGGTGCAGTCGAACTTCTTCGGTTGAGGGCAACCTGCAGCATTGCCCGCGAAAGAGCTGAAAGGTGGCAATTGTGAGGCTTCGGCACACAACCGAAATACCTCGAGTCAGGCAACTCAATAAATGTGCGAATGGAAGTCTCATTTTCCCCACGACCCGACCGAAGTGTCCCCCTGCTCGGATGTCGTGGTCATCGCAATGTGTCAATGGCCGGCAAGGGCCGTCGGGCTGAAACCGTCCCAAAACCCGAAACACTGTCCCCACCCGGGCCTGAAGTGCCAGGGGCCAGCAATGGAGCCGACGGGCACAGCCTTTGATCGAACGGATCATTGCCGTTGGTGGAGGAGGCTTTGGGTGATCAGTGGTACTGAAAGTATGATCCTGACTCTTTTCATCTCTCTGACCAAAACCCATGCCAGTAGAATTGAAAAGCTGCGGGAGAATAGAGACACATGCATCACCAACCTCGACTGATCACATGCGAGTCTCATTCACCGTATTGCGAATCCACGGAAGTTCGAGACCCGAAGCGAACCCAACTCGTAAGCCCCACACGAGCCATCCGGGCAGCAGCTGATGCCGGAACAGACGGCCTTCCTTGGCATCAAGAGAAGCTCTGAGTTGAATCGAAACTTAAGGACAAAGAGCTCAAACGTGCCCTAACGGCGTCGCCAAAGAGGCAGCGACCTCAATTCGATGGGTGTCTCCTGACTTTGTCATACCATGTCCTTCACTGATAGGAGATACCAGGGACTCGAGATGCAGGCACAGGCCGAAAGTCAAAGTCTCCTGTACCCGAAACTTCTTCGACCTGAACCTAAACCCTAGAATATCCCTACAACACTAATGCCCCGAAGCACTGGCAGCGAGACCCAACAAAAACCTGAAACCATGATCCCGAACCGCTTCAGTCGCCCCGAAAGATACTCCCGAAGCTTAACTCCACGGAAGTCCACGGAAGTCATCCTCAGCTCTGTACCCATCAGGGCATTTCACACCTTGAAGCTTAGCAGAGTTCGGAGAGGTCGGGCGAGTTCGGGTGAGGCTTCCGACAGTACTCCCATCTCCAATCTCCCTGTGAACATTCTGCATCAAAGGCGCTTGAGCCCGGCAAGCACTTGTTTGCTGGATCACACGCAGTGCTCGCCGGACCACCTGCCTGTCACATTTCGCCCACAATATCACGGTCTGTCAAGTGGAACACACATGGAAAGCCGAGGCGGGCCGTGCTCGAAAGGCCACATCCAACAACAAACACAACTCTAAATGCCGCGCGATGCCACCTGTAAGAGCACTATGCACCTCCTCATCTGACTCGTCGGGTGTCGGTTCCTCCTCTTGCTCTTCCTGCAGGCAACACCGTACCAGTAGTTCCTGGTGGGGCTAGGGAGAACATGAGCCCGAGCCTCGGGGCTGAACTCCTTATGATACGTTTCTCATGGCGCGGCGGCGACTAAGCTGGCATCGCAGTCCTGCTTCTCTTCGGCATCCTCATCGGTGACCTGCGGACTGCGACCCTGAAAACTGCCAGGCTGTGCCAGGTCGACGAACTGCAACACACGTGCGCCCAGCAGCACTACCAAGGCAGGCCTCCTCCTCCGCCTGCTCCTCCTCCTCCTCCGCCTGCTCCTGCTCCAGGTCATCACCGTCCTCCGGCATCATCGGCCATGCCCCTCTCCCCCGCTACCCAAAGCCAAGCTCTGGCAGCCGCGTCCTCTGCACCATCCAAGTCCTTTTCGGCGGCTCCTCCGGAAGGCTCCTGAAATCCCAGAGAGTGGCGATTAGCCAACATCTTTGGGAAAGGGATCGAAACATATCGAAACCCGGCTTGAGGCTTGGGTCCAACACACATGTTGTCAAAAATCAACTGTAAGCCAGCGAGAGGGGAGCCGCACACCTCGTCATCCGCCGTGCTTTCCCATGGGCCGAAGTCCTCGAACTTGGGCTCCTGAGATTATCACCGATTTGGACTTTGACTTGGACCCAAGATGCTTTGAACTCACGAAGCGGTATGTAGCTCCTTGTGCTCTGGCTTCGGAGGCTCCACCGGAGCCTTCGGGCACAGGTGCAGGCCTTCTAGCAAACTCATATACGTCCTGACGTGTAGGCAGCCATAGAGCAGGCTATTGAGGCCACGAGCCCGAGACTCTGCAGACATGTGTCGTGGGGCTGCTGGGAAATGTGCACGGCCGCGGTGCGGCTGTACATGCGACATAGCAACCAAGAAACTGCAAGCTGACTGATGGAGCATCTCTGTAGGGCGTAGAATAGGAAGAAGATTGCTGGTAGTTCCACCCATGAAGAAATACTACACTGAACCAAAAGCCAAAAATCATCTCCTCAGCGGCCCCAGCTTCTAAACTCTAAACCCTTACTTGTAGAGAACACTTATAGCACCATGTATTTACAATCACATCCGCCTAGTAAAAAGTGTGGGGGCCCACCGCTTTTCCCAATAGAAACTCGAACATGGCTTCATCACAGGGGTGTGCTTTTCTCTACTACTCTTACAGTTCGAGGATCTTGCCGTTGCTCAAGTTCTTGCTCCTGCTTTTGCTCCTGCTGCTGCTGGTGCGCATGATCTTGCTACTGCTCCTGCTCCTGCGCTTGCGCCTGAAACCCCCAAATCCAAAAATCGTTCTGTAAGGCGATTTTCGGGTAAGTGCTTTTTTTTTACGATGGGGTGGTTGCAAGAAGGGGGAGCGATTAGAACCCTTTTGAACCCTTTTCGACCCCTTAAATGAAACCAGAGAGCCCTGCAACAAGAACCCCAAGGCCCAGAAGAACTGCAGGAGGCCTGGACTGTGCAGTCCCCGAGCTTCTCCTGACCAGACCGTGAGATCGAGAGGCAGAAACTGGATCAGCCCTAGCAGTCTTCACAAGCCCTGGGCTTTTGTTGGGGGGCATGTTGTATACTTGCTTAATATATGGACTTTTTCCGGGAGTGCTACAAGTGAAGGCGTAGGAAGGCGATCTTGTAAACTGCCGGGTACGTCCAACAGCCTAGTACCACCGCGACAGAACGCCTTGGGAGGCAGATGGTAACGCAGATGATAACAGCGAAAGCAAAACAATACAACAATGCAAAAACACACCACTGACTTGCAAACTTGCGGTGTCAGCACACAAACGATAACAAAACTCATGGCAGGATGCATGATACCACGGATGAGGCCAAGGCCTTCTTCCAGCAAGTCGCCGAGTTTGGCGCAGAGGGGCACGGCCTTGGGGTCAAGAGGCGGGTCAGTTCGTCTTGGCCTGGGGGCCTTCTGAAATCAGGCTCGATGTAAGCTACGGAACCTATAGCACAAGTGTACAGTGGAGCTGCAGTAATGATGCCTGCCCCTGAAATTATGACTGGTTTGCGGCTGCCGCTGCATCATCAAAGAGGAAAGTCTGGCATTTCTGCAACCTCTCCCACATCTGAAACTAAGTGACTAGACTTGCCATAAATGCAGATCAACTGTTACAAACAGACTTATGACACATGAAGACGAGTGTTTTGTGTTTCCTGATGTCTCGCCCCATCCCTGAACCTTTGGAGTGTCTGGGCTTCCTGCGACCCATCGGGGCAGCAAAGAGACCCTGCACAGTGAAGGTTCCTGGCATTGACGAGCAGAGTGGGCTCTGATTCCTGTCGAAGACTCCTCTGCTCTGGAGCAGTACTGCCGCCTAAGGCCGCCAATTTGGGAGCAAGGTGTTTAAGGAATTCCGGGTCCTAGCAAACCCGTTCAGTACTTGGCTGAACACTGCAGGTCGCCACGCTTGCTGTCGTGCTGATGGCATACAGAAAGATCAGAGTCAGTCTCTTGACCAGCAAGTTACGGCCAGCCGAGGGCTGGGCGAGTTGGGACACGGCACGGCCTCGCCCACCTCGGTGTCTGCACATGCAGACGGCAAGTCTCAGTCAAAGGTAGCTGCAGTCGAACACAGGCAGCCCTGATCAACGGGCGAGCCTCGCAGAACTCCGGCAGCTTCAAGGGTTTCGGAGCATGAAGCCCTGGCGCAATCCGACAGTCTCTCAAAACGGCAGGTCCAGTGGGTTGTCATATTGTCATGTTCGCCTTGCCCTTATAGTTCCTATAATTATGCTGAAAGCAATCAAGCACACTATGGCCATACTTGTGTACATACACACATACGTATTTACCTACCTCTGACAGAGCATGGAACTCTCGAACAGCAATGCTAGAACCCTCATACTAGACACAGTCATAATAACTGATAACCAATGCAACGAAGAACACATTAAGAAACCCACAGTGGCACCTGACCACTCCTGCACCAACGTTCCTGAATCACGCCTCGAAGCCCTGGGACCTGAAAACCCACGAGTTTCGATGGCACCGCAGAGAGAAGACATTCCAGCTAAAGCCTTACAGCTCACTCAGAAGATCCCCAACCGACATCAGCAAAGGGCATCCCGTCCTGTGCAGTCATGCGCTTTGGGCTTCTGGCACCTTCACAGTCTCTCGAAGGAGCTGGGTGAACGAACTCTCGTACGAGATCAACACAGAAAGATGGTGATAGAAACACATATAGCCTTAGGGCAAGTGTTATGTGCGAGTGCGTTCAAAGATCCTGAGCCGAGTGCTCGAGCATGAACTAGTCTAGTCATTTGCCCCGATAGCGAAAACGAAACGATTTATCAAAAGCAGCAACAATAACAATGCTCACCCACGGTGACAGTTGATGCTAATACAGCCAAATGATCGTGTTTTGACCAGCACGTTCACGTCACCTTGAGCACATGTAGAAGCTGGGCTTAGTCAGACGAGAAAAACACCCGTCATCAAGCATAACCCCACCCATACACTCCCATCCTAAGATCAAACCCAAAACTTGAAACCTCGGATCTGAAATGAGAATTCGGAACCAGAAAACCTCAGTTCTCGCCGGGGGGCTTTGACCCAGAGTTGGGTGCCGACGGGCACAGCCTGAGTGAACATGCCGGCAATATAACTGGTCCTTATTTACGCTGCAGTTGTTTGGTATGAAGAAACAACTGAAGATTGCAAGATCTAACCGATGCTACTAAACCACCACTCTGTAAAACCATACATGATCTGGAGTAGCTACTACCAAGCCGCACTGTGCACCTGGGCCTTCTAAGGTCACAAACACGATTCTGGTCACTCGCGCGACTGTCAGCATGGTTTTCTTCACACTTCGCGCAGTAGCATTTGCAGCCGCCACTATCGTCGACCGTAGCAGTAAGAGCAGACGGAGCAGCAGCAGCAACAGCAGCAGCAGCAGCAGCTGTCGACACTTGAACGGCTATGCAATGCTGCTGGTATGGGTACGACTATCTCTGTTGCTATGCCGCTTGCGCTTATTCATGCCAGTCCTAGCTCTGCTGCAGCTTGTCCTTCTCCTTTGCTTCTACTACTACCACTACTACCACCACCACCACCACCACCACCAAAACCAGCAGCAGCAGCAGCACCACCACCACCGCCACTACCACCACCACTGCTGCTTCTTGCGCATGCCTCGTTATAGTACTCTGAGCCATCAGAACTGTTGCTCTTCTTGCTGAGGGAGGCTTGATCTTTCCAGTGCCTGCCCTGGCCATGGAAGGCTGCAGATGCTTCATGGCTCGGTCGTGCACTTTCTCCAAAACGGGATCCATTCAAGGTGCTTACAAGAGGAGTCCGGGGCACTGAATTTACAGATTAAGGTGTGGTCTCAAGGTGTTAAGGCAAGAAGTTTTTCTCTCCTGGATGTCTCACGTCTCGGTCACGGGCGTGCCATCGGGGCAGCACTGGCTTTCTTTGCAGAAGTCCCTGAGTGCGCGACCGAGTGCAAGTGCGGAAATGTCTATGTAGGACTATCAGCGGCTACGTAAAACTCGAGATCCTGAACGCCAACCTGTGTGCGCACGGTCCCTGATCCATTCTACGCATGGCTGCACCGACAAACGGTTTTTTGCCTAGTGCTGCTCTCTCTTGACGGAGGAACATCATTCAAGGATAGCCTGAAACACCAGTCCAAGAAAGGAACGGCAAGTAAGCTGTTCATCACTTCACTGCCGAGCAGCTCCGAATTGGGGCATCGCACCGTGCTTCCAGGCTTGCATTGGCCCTGCATCGAGAAGGAAGAAGCCACTGGCATAGCTACTCTCCCTGCAACGAGGACACATGAGGACCACAGGACTCTCTTTGACTCGTGCTAGCAAAGCGCAGCCGACAAAGCCAAGCTTCAAACGAGCCTTCGGTTGTTCCTTCTCCTCCTCTGGTTCCTTCTCCTCGGCCTGCAGGCTCTGAAAGGCGACGAAACACTGGTACGAATGCTCTTACAAGCAGCATGATGAAGACCACATATCTACTGTCACGGTAGATGCTATCAGGTTGAAGCCTCGTGTCAGAGTGAGTCGAGCTGTTGCCAAAATAGCGTGCGTCAGACATTCGGTTGTTCGCTGTCAGGGACTCAGATTGCATAGCTCTCCGAGGCAGTACCACAAGTCAGAAGTGATGATGCATCAACACGGGGTAAGCGGTAAGCTGTACGAGAAACTCAGTGCATGGCTGGATTGTCGCCATCCGTGCCCCTGGCATGAGCAAAGCCACATACAGACTTGAGCAAACAAAACCTGTGGGCTCACAAGACTTTCCTGAGTTCTGCCTCTGCATAAGAAAGTCGTAGTTTCAGCCGTGCTCAGAAACCGCTGTACTGTTTCAAAACCAACTGCCACAGGCGTCGCAGGATGTGCTACTATGCATATCACCGTGCGCGGCACTGGCCTTCTTTCAAGCGCAGAGGCAGCTGCAGTAATGCGATTTATGCCACTGCACAGGATTCTGCTCTCACATGGGAATGCGGAGCTGGGGCGTGGCCTGCACGCCACCTTTTTCGGGTGCTTGCAGATCTTGTTGGAGTAGTATGGAGCTGACGGGCACAACCTCAGGACTCACTTGAAAAGCTTGGAGTTACGAAGCAAGCAATGGAAGCAGCCGACGGTTCCGCTCCGACATCGGAAAATCAGAGGGAAATCCGACAGATCTTGCCAGGAGCCCTGCGACTGGTCCGGGCAGCACTCGTCTCCAAGGCAGTAGGAGTTCCTTGGCACCAAGATGCTCATGTCGTGAATAATAAACCTGAAGGCTTCTCAAGGCTTGACACGACTCGGGGAAGACCACAACTCACCGTAGAACCTGATCTCGAGCCCAGCGAGTTCAGGATGCCTTTGCCCGTGAAAGCCCGAGAGATGGCTCATCAAGAGGCTTTAGAATAATCCGGATTTTGATCGCATGTTGCCGGATCTCCTGCGGGCTGTGCCTACTTTGGGCACCGAGGTGAGGAGAAAATGGCCAAATTCGGTGGTGAGCTCCACGCTTGGGAACTATCCACCTGGAACTGCTGTTGTGGTCGCACGCAGGCTGGCGATGCGGTTGGACAGTGAGGTAGCCAGGCAGGCCAGCGTGGTGCCAGTGCCCACAAAGGACCTCGGCAGGGCTACTGCCTGGAAGAGTCAGGGAAGGCCTCTCCTGAACCGCCCAAAGCCCATCCGCCGTCCAGGGAGCATGAAGATGATCAGCAGAAAGAAGGGCATGTTGCCGCTGCAGCACGTCCTCGCATGCACGGGCCCGTCAGCCAGCCGTCTTGCATAGGATGAAAGGATGAAACCAAGAATTGAGGGAGGCACCCTGCAATGCAGCGGCCGAAGACCCCACAGTGGTGGTCGAAGTAGCGGACACAGCGGTTGCAGGTCCTGTCGCACGAAGGGACCGAAGACACGTGAAATAGGTCAGGAATGGCATCAAGCCCGCTGCTTTTGAGAAGGGCAGCAAAGCTACAAGCACGCTGCATCCTGAACTCTACACTCTGAGGGGGCGTCAATGTGCGAAAAGATGTGCCGTGCCTGCAATGATGACAGCTGCCCTCCTTACCTTGCTGCAAGCACGCTTGGGAAAGCTTCATCTGCGGGACGTTGGTTCACTCGGTTTCGGCTGGAAGGGCTGAAGTTGGTGACCAAATTGTCTCCTCCACTGTCTGTGCAGCCCCGACAACAATCGCCCCAAATGCAGCCCAATGCAAGCCCGCGGTGCGCGCACATAAGCTTGCAATGCTTGTCAAACTCTAGTACAGGCCTGTACTGTATTTTCCGGCCGAGGGGCAGCCTGGCAGTTGGCGGAAGAAAAGCTGCAGTGGTCTGGGAAGGGAAGCCACCTTAGAACTGCATTTGATATCATTGGTGTCGCCACTGGCTTGTCGACTGGCTTTTATTACATTCTTGACGTGCTGAAACGCTCGCGAAGAGCAATTGCTGTGAAGCTTCGCGCATGCTAAAGTTCAAACGAAAATTTATGACTACCGTTGCACGATCTTGGTGAGGCTAGCGGGAAATGCACGAGTGACATTTACGAGCGATAAAAAATAGTATGTCACATATGCTAGTCAGACAGCTATCTCAGAAGTTTCTCGTGGTCCAGAGTACAACACGAAGCTGATCCATTTCGGAGCATGGCCCAGGCGAAGGTGGCGGCACGGTACGAAGTGTTTTAATCCGTAGCTCGATGTGCCCACTGCCCCACCACCTTGCAGCCGAGTCCACTCGAGAAGAAAGCATCGGAACTTGCCGCTTCGGCCGCCAAACAAGGCATCGGACACAAAAGGTCCGGTCGCCATCGTCCACGTTCCTTGTAGAGGCGAGTGGTTGGTCGATCAAAAAAGCAGAGGCACTGATACAGTTGACGAAAGCTCACAAGGCTCTCCAAGCTGCTTGAGGCGGCTATCGGTTCTCAGTACTACACAGCAGGAGGCCTACAGAAGAGTTCTGCACCAATGACCATTTGAAGCCTTGAAGCCACTGCCGCAGGCTGATTACGGTGTCATCGACCGGTCTATACCGGTCTTCTGTCAGTAGCTGTCCGTAGTCTTCATGCAAGCATCTCCATGCTTTCCAGCGATTCGCCTCGCCGGATCTTCTCCGCCACCTGTCAGGTCTCGGACGTTGCCGGGGTACTGGCTTACATTAAGAGGTCTTAGGATGTCTTCATGGCCTGAGGTCGATGCATTGTTTTGTTCAAGCCTGATGTAATGCAACTGAACGGCTGGCGAGTCGCAGCACGAGTGTGCTTGGCTTCGCCTGGACGCTCTGCACATGCCTGTTGCTGCGCTGGAGGCGTCGAAGGACCTATACAGTAGACTCAGTAGGCCCTGGCCAGTTTCCCGGCTATGGAAGGCCTTTAATTAAGGGGGGAGCGGCTGCACCCGCAAACGCTCGGAAGCAGACAATTACACGGCTATAGCGTATCGCCGGTGGCAGCTGCATTTGTGGCAACGTCTTGTTTCCCGGCTCCCCTTCGCACAAGGAAGGAACCGACCCGGCAGATGGAGTCCCAGGACTCCTGGATGGGGAGGACGATGATCACGAAGGCGGCCAGGAAGCTCCAGGCAATGCTAATGAACACCCAGAAGGCAAAATAGCCTTTGCCAAAGACGCCAGCCGGTAGAGAAAGCACGGGCCAAACGAATACCATCAGGATGGTGAAAGTCAAGCCCCACTTCTGAACCCAGCTCTGAGCAGCATCCAAGAACTCCGGCGTGTAATCCTGCTCATCCAGCCCACTCATGTCCTGCTCCAGCATTTCCTTGGCCCGGGTGCTAAAAGACACAGAACACAATGTGGCGTTCCGGCAGCCTACTTCTACTTCGGTCCTGCCCTGTGTGACTTCCTCTCCTTCTCACCAAGCCTCAATCTTGCCCATAGATTGGAAATCATAGTTTTGAGGATTCTTCAAGGAGAAGACGAAATGGATCAAGGCCGATGACGCCAAGGCCGTGAGGTTGCCGGCGAGGTTTGGGTTCAACTCTCCCAGGTTCTCGATGGTGATCTCACCAAACTCGACCTGGCACACGATGAGCCACGTCGCCAGGGCCAGGATCATGCCGCCCCAGGCTGCCACCACGGCCCCTGTCGCGTTGGCATCCTTCCACATGAGCAGGTTCCAGAGAGGGACCACGGCAGAGCCGATGACATTGCCCATAAATAGGTACAGCCAGCTCAGGTTCAGGCCAATGCAGTTAAGGGCGACACCGAGGCCGCCCATGAGTAGGCCGAAGATGACCACCACCGCCTGGGAAAGTCTCAGCACCTGTTTCCCGGTGCACTTGGGGTTGATGTAGGTCTTGTAGATGTCGTATGTAATCAGGGATGACACGGCGATACCCTCGGAAGAGCCTGTGGAGGTGATGGCCATGAAAAGCATCACTGACATCATCACCGAACCGAAGCTGCCGAAGAGGTGTGTGGCGACCGCGGGCGGCACCAGACCGGCAGCGGCTTCGGCAGAGGAGATGGGAAGCTGCAGGGCAACGGCACACATGCCAAGGGACGTGGCGAGGGCAAAGGGGATCGTGAACCAAACCAATCCACCCAGCAGGTAGCCCTTGTGGGCACTGGCCGGCTTAGCCGCGATCGCAGATTGCCAGTACGACTGGTCCACGAAAACGGTGCCGAAGTTGCCGATGATGTTGATGACACCGAACTTCGTACCACCCGTAGATTTCATGGTCAGATAGGATCCGTGGTCGTTCTTCTCCACAGGCCCGCAGGCATACCTACCCGGTTCGAAGAAGGTCTGATTGCCATTGTGAAAAATTTGCTGACACTGTGCAGTCGAATAGCTCGATACCTGCATCAGGCCATCATAGATGCTGTCGCACGAGAACTCCTTGACATAAACAGTGTACACACACACGAGCAGAATCAGGAAAATGATGGCGGTATGGAGGTAGGAGGCCATGAAAGTGGCCTTCAGGCCACCTGCCGCTGTGTAAAGGATCACACCCCAGGGAATCAGGAAGCATGCCAGGTTCGTATCCACGCCCGTCAGCGCATTTACTGTGGCAGCACCGCCCAGTAGCAGCATGGAGGTCACGAGTACGTTGGCCGATAGCGCGAAGAAGAGGAAAGTCAGGTGCGCACGTTTGCCCCACCTTCGAATTACGCTGTTATTTGGAAGGGTGATGCGACGGGACTGATGGGAAGGGTGAATTTTAGAATGTCACTACCTGGCCAAAACCATCTCACACACTGTGTGCGCCGTCCGAGCACGGCGTTTGACCTCGATCGCCAACATGCCGAAGAGTAGTACCTGGATCGTCGCGCCAGCGGCGTACCAAAACGGCCCAGAAACTCCGTACTGCCATGCTACATTGCAGGATTGCAGAAGTGTCGCCGGCCAGGTCCACTGCGAGACGATGACAGAGGCTGTCAGGCCTGTATTCACAGTGCGGCCGGCAGTGTTGAAGAATTCTGATGTGTGTACGGTTCCATTCGCATACTTGTCAAGATACACCAGCACTGTGGTCACCACGGAAAAGAATGCTCCAAAGCCAAGCAAGATTGCGTAGCCGGACTCCTTCGGCAGTGGCGTGTTGTCCTCGAAAAAGCTAGTCTTGCCTATGTAGTCCAAGCCCATCAACATGATGCCGGAGAGTTGGGCAGTGGGAGATCACGTTGCCTAATGCTGCAGGGATGCTTTTGAGCCCGCCTGCAATAACAGACTTTCCATAGACTTTCCTGACATCACGACTCAAATCTCAAAATCAGATGTTCTGTTCGGACCGCCTCCGCAGGCAGGGGAAAGCAGTTCTCCTCTGTTCTGGGAATCACCTGAAGTGTCCAACAACGACGCTTTCCGTGTGTCCAGCACCTGCCTCACCCGTTCAACAGCCCACGTTTACAACTCTCTCTCTTCGCCAGGAAGCCCCCGGATCTCCGCAGAGGATGAACAGCAGGCAGACTACGGCGATCGCAGCCTGCGGCCAGCTCGAAAGCTTTCTCGCAGGGGATTTCGTCGAGGATTTATTGTGATGCTACTGCCACCACTACTACAACGACTGTCTGTATAATTCCACAATCAAAGGGTGCGGGCGATGTGAGGTCCTGGCAGTCGGATCCGCTGCTGCTGCTGCTGCTGCTGCTGCTGCTGCTGCTGCTGCTGCTGCTGCTGCTGCTGCTGCGCCGACGACGACGACGACGACGAGTGCGACAGCTGCTCCTGCTACGAGTGCTACCACTACTTCCTACTGCGAGCACCGCCACTCATTCCAGTGCGACGAATGAAAGCTCCTACCAGCACACATACATGGAAACGCCCGACTGGGAGGGACAGTGGCAGCCTCAGTGTAGATCGCTGTCAGGTAGAGGAACCTCCCCACATGTTGCGGCTACCGCGCCAACCGAGAACAAGGGGGAATCATCTTCAAACACCGTGTAGCTGCAACATTTCTTTGGCTCTCAAATCATCCTGTGTCTTACTGTGAAGGCTTCCCAGTCGCGCCCAAGTTTCAAGCTTTTTGGCGCGGCAAAAACACGCCCACCCTGCAAGCACGATCATGCACACATGAACCTCTTAACTTCAGCTCCGTCAGGTTTCGCGACTTGGGATGCACTGACTGAGTGGCCGAAGCTGAAAGAATCACAAACAGACGTTCGACCCTTGGCTTCGGGCACCTGTGCTTCTAACAGAACTTCGAGACTGTCCGGTCGTCCAGGGCTAGCAGGCGGTAGTATTGCTGCTATTCCTGCTCCTCGTAGTCGTCCCTCAAATTCCCACCGTGCAACGGCCGAAATTGTCGAAATTACTGCCAGCATTACTGTTGCTAGTACTGTTGCGCATCGAAGCAACTCGTGGTAGCCAGTCAAGTCGAACGCAGGTACGACTGACGACTCAACAAAATGTTACTCTTCCGACGACGAAGGAAGCACTGATACAATGGTCTTGTCCTACACTTGTAGAATGCATCGTGAAGTCGAAACAGAAAGGAGGCGTAGCCTCTGGTCCGCTGTTAGCATCTGGCCCAGGAAGCGCGGCAGAATCGTCAGGGCCAACCCGTGCGTCCCTCCTTCAGGGCGTCGAATGTGCAGTCTGGGGGTTGTTGTATCATCTGATATCAAATGGCAGGTGGATGTACGCCCTTGTGATATGCCAAAACCATCTGCTTTCTCACTCTTTCGTCGTCGTCACCATCACCACCATCGCCATGAACCGTCAAGCTTTGCTACACGCGCGGGCGCGTGCAGAAGAGGAAGCCCATTTGCACCAGGCCTACGAGGCAAAAAATCTGGAAGCTCACGTAAAAGGTGCCACCCGTCGACTGCCTCAGTAGACAAAGCAGGCGGTTTAGGGATAAGGGTTTAGGGTGTCTATCATGGTCCAACGGATCGAAATGCACGTTTCGTAGCTGTATACTAGTTGCAGTCCTTTTGCCTTTCTAAGAGTAGTTCCGGGCTGCTACAGGATGCTTCTTCTGAGAAATTGCGATCCGGGATGTAGCCCGAAGCTTTTCATACCGGGGGGCAGCAGCATGTCACACTTCTTTGGTGGAGGCAGCGGGGGCAGGTCCTTCAACATGCAACAGGCCCTGACAAGTTTCAACTCCGAAAGCCGGGTGCAAGCCCGTGGCCCCGGTAAACTCGAAGTGGCTCCTCGAGACGCCAGCAGGACGCCAAATTCTCCAGGCTTCCATCTTCCTCATCCACCTGCTGGGGCTTCGGTTCTCACGGCTTGGACCCAGATGCCCCGGTAGCCTCGCAGCCATAAACGGTCCGAACTGGTGCCGGCATGGTCTTGGCGGACATTCATCTAAGCACAGGCTGAAGAGGCCGAATTTGAGGTGTCGTGGCGGTTATGGGATGGTGGTATGTTTGCTAGAGCTGATCAGCGGCTGGCCAGCGCTTTTTAGATGGGGCAAGTATGGAAAGCTCCGTGTAAGGCTTCAGCCTCGCTCGAACATGAATCCGATCTCGGCGTGGGGCAAGGCTTGGAGTGAGGTGTTCTCCCCGCTGCTGGCTAAGTTTTAAGATTTGGGAATCAACGGCTTGTCATGGAGTGCTTGCCCATCTGCTGATCCGAACAGCTGCGCGGAGAGTCCCACAGCTTAACTTGCAGGTGACTCGGGCTTCGCATTCCGCGATTCCACATCCCAACAAGCTCAACAACACAGAGCTCCAAGCTCCCAAAGCCAGGCTCCCGACGGAATGTTCGGACATACGACACTCTCCCCTGCGAAGCACCCGTTGTTCATGCGCACCTCGGATCTGCAGTTTGACGGGGCCGAATAGCAAGGGCCCACGAGGTTCCTTTCAGTCACCATCGAGCCCTGCACTTCAAGTCACTCGTAAGAGATGAGCCGCGGCCCCACCCCCGAGTCCACAGCCAGCTCTGCATGGCTGAGGATCCCCGACATGCTACCCCGGCAGAAGCATCTGAGGCTCGGGACACCATGCCGGCCGAACTTCTTCAACTCGGCTGCTGCGTTGTCAATGTTGTTGCAGAATGCGCTTTACGGCTTTTCGTCGGCGTGTGCTAGTGGCGAACTTCACCTTTTTTTGACCCGAGTCCCTTGCGGGTGCCACAGTTGGGAGAAGGTGCGGCAGCACCTGCGAAGTGGACCCAAATGCACAATCCTCCATGGTTTGGGTCTAGGCCCTTGGATCCAAGACGAAGACGTAAGGACTTGTCGTAGGTTCCACTGAAGGATCGATTCATTCATGCACTCATCATCACACCATGCCTCGCATGATGTCAAGTCGAAGCAGCAATTTATGGCAAGACTAGGCCTAAACCATTGTGCAGAAAATCTCGCTTGGACCAGCAAACCTCACACTTCTCGGGCCGAGCAGGTCTTGCCAAGCTGCTGGTTTGGGAGTAGTGGTCGCCACCTGACATCAGCAGGTTTGTAAAGAGCCCTTGCTTTGGCATCGCTTTTGTCCACGGACTTGGCACGGACTCGATGTTGCTCTTTACCGAAATGCCGAAAGCCGAAGCCTCTTGAGACAAAGCGAGCCTGCCGCTGCGCTATGCGCGGCCAAGGGATTACATCCTCGGAAGGTGTTAAGGTTAGCCTTCAGGCATCTCCGACGATGTCAGAACTCGAGGGTTTGGGGGTTTAGGGTTTGGGGGTTTGACTGAACCTGCAACACGCACTCCACACCTGGACTTGTCATGCAAATCGAGGACTCTACACCCCCCTCTCATTCCGGGCGGTTGCCAAGAAGGCTGCTGTTGGCTTCATGTCCGCCGGCTGGGACCCCAGGCTTTTCTGCCAGGGCGGGTGGCCAGCCAGACCCTGGGCGGTCGGCGGGTCAATGTTACTATCATCCTGTGACTCAAAAAGTTATGACGATGTCCCTGCTAGGGAGAGGTTGCGGAGTTTGCGTCTTGAGCCTTCTTGCAAAACTTAGTGTTGCCTTGTCGTGAGTAGGCCGATCTGCCACCAGCGCATGCAGAAACAACCGCGAACACCTGGCTCGGATTCTCGGCGGCTAAGGGGCAGCGAGTTTGTCAAGGAATTGCCGCCGGCAGCAGCATTCCTGCGACTTGCACAAGAACGTCGAGATGACGTGAAGAGGGATGCCAATGCTACAAATGCACAAGCTTCTCATCTCTTTCGCATGTCACACAGATAATCAAGCATCTTGATAGTCTTAAGATTCGTAGTCTTAGAGTTGCATGAGGAAGGGCATGGAAAGTGTCCCAAGCCTCATGCTGAAAGTCTCGTCATCCAACCTGATGACAGGTGGTTCGCTGAAGTGCACACTCTTGATGCCGAAAGCTAAATGTTGCATTGAAGCCTTGCTTGCACGCGAAAAACAAGCCATGGCAACTGGCACGTCTGAGAGCTACCAGTCTGCTCCATGCCGGCCTGTGCAAGCACTCGAAGGCATCGCTGACGTTGACAACTGCCTCTTCGGCGCATACGGGAGGAAGGACCGGGCATCTGCGACACACTAGCAGCATCTAACCAGGTTACTCGATGATACTCACTGACCACACTTCGAAGGATGGTGCAGGTGCCGGTCCGACTGACATCATGTTAAACTGTTACCACGTGCACAACGGCAGAGCTGCACTTGCTCTCCTATCTCACTTCCCCTCGCGCCTGCTGCATGCAAACGAGCCAGGACCAGCCCAGTTTCTTGCAGCCGGGGTCGCTCTCGCAGGAATCCTTCGAGACTGCGGGAAGTTAACAACTGATTCACACTGGAACTCTAACTCAGCTGCGCCGCTGTCTTCTGCCCAGCCACGTCCGTTTCGATGTCTCACGGGTATTAACTGTTTCACTGTTACGATCGCTACTTCATGTTGCTAAAATGTCAGCAGTATTGAACTTTCGTCTCAAGTCTTGAAACGTAAGCAGCCCATGCACACTCGGGCTCTTTCACACTCCCGATCGGACCCCGATCCTTGTAAGAGAGGAAGTGCTGCATCACCCACTCCTGATCACCCGACGCAAGCATCGAAGGTGTAGCGGCGTAGCGACCCACCCATGCCCTCATGCATACACACAACCTCAGCAGGACGTTAGTTCATCCCAGCACAACCAAAACAGTATCCCTCGTTGGCCTCGTTCAAGAAGTCTTCTAACGCCTGATGCAACATGCATCCGCGGAGTTTCATGCGTCTGGGCAGGGCAATCACTATGCAAGCGTCTTGCGCCCTACCCGCAGTACTCCGAGCGCCACACTGGGACGACAGGCAGCATCCTTGACAGCATAAGGTACTGGATCGTGTGAACTGTGCCTTTACATGAAGACCCTGAGATACCCGCATTCACAGGCACAGCCAATCAGTTGCATCGCATTCAGATGGTATTTGCCAACATGCTGTGGACAGTTGCTAGCCAAGCTGCTGGATTCCTTCCACAGCCCAGCCTGGCAAGCGAGACTTTCACACGAGACATCATACGAGACATGCAGCTCGCAACTGAGGCGAATCTGAATGCTCAAAGGTCGATGTGCCATGTCGGGTCATGCACCGCGCACGAACCTGAACGTGCTCATATTGTGGGCCGAAGCCCGAAGCATCTCGACATCCTATTAGACGACGCTGCCTTTTCCTCCAAACCAGGTTTGGTGGAGGCAGACGTGCTCCCACATGATGCCCACCTGTTGAGGTCAGCATTGGCATGCTGGGTGCTTCTTGGACTGCAGCTCTGCAACGCGACTTTGATGGGTAAGTACGAACAATTCTTCCGGGGCCAAGACACAAAGGAGAAATGCTCATGTGAAGTGCATTGATTTCGGGATCCAAGCCGACAAGCCAAAACAGCGAAGCAATGCCGAGTTCGATCAGCACAGACCGCTCTCGGGATCCTTTTCATCAGACCTATCAGACCTATCAAGCCCACACGCATCCAGAAATCTGAACGGCTTGCATCAAGCGAGGCCCCCGCCGTTGGGTGTTGGAAGTTTGGGTAGAACTTGCTATCAGGACGTACATGCCTCCGAGTCTTGCACTCCACTGGAACAGTCAGCGCGGACTTCAACGAACGGAGCAACCACATAAAGACTTGAACAGCGGACATTGGCAGACTTGATTTCCACGCCTCGAAGCCTGGACATAACAGAAGACCGTACAACTTGATGCTGCGCTTCCGATGCTTCAGCAGATGATGTGAAGAGGTCATAGCCGAACATGCTGAAGATCTCGTGCTTCTGAAAAATGCTGCTCGAGCTGCCAGTACGTGTCCCCGCCGTGGACCTGCGAAGGAGTGAAGGCTGAGTCTCAAACCAACGACAGGCGTATTGGAGGCATTGGAGGTGCCATTCAGATCATGAGGTTGGTTCCTTTCCCAGCAAGAACCGATCCAAAGACTGTCGCCACTTAAAGAAGCAAAAGCACCTACGGCTGTAAGTGCTGCCTGCCTACCTGCCGACCGACCTACGTACCTACCCGCATCTTTGCATGCAGAAATACACGCAAACCTGCACCCTGCATGCAGGGTTGTATGTCGGTGTACATGTACGGCATATACATATGTGCATGTATAAGTGTGTATTTGTATATATATATATATACACACACAAGTACACATACATAAATATATATATATATATATGTATATATGTATATATATATATATATGTATATATATATATATATACATATATAAATATATGTCAGATATGTGCATCCATGCACATACTGGATATGGAACAACCTCTGTCGTTCGAAGTCCTGCCTCCATGGCCATCAAGAGGCGACCAAGCTGCCGAAGCTGGATGCCCATCTGCGAAGCCTAGGCTGGGAAGCCGAGGCAACCCCTTAAAACGGGTGCGTACGCCTCTGTGTTGGGCATCGCGGGTCTGACCTTTGTAGTTTAGCTTAGGAAGCCGCTGATTTAGAATTCTCACAGCCCACACTTCTTCTGTATGGCTGGCGCCTCGTCGCCACGATTCGCCAAGACAGTGCCGTACACTGCCAGGGCGTAGTAGCCTCGGGTAGCTTGCACTAAGGTGCTGTAGCCACTCGAACTCACTAAAACAGCAAAGAGCTCACACTCTCCGCCCAAGTTGATCCGTCTCTTGTTTTTCAGGCGCCAGAAAGGTGGTGGCACGTGCTGAAAAGTTCAACATGTGCCCTTCAGCCATGAAGTAAAAAGTCTTGATAAGCCTCGGGCTGTTGATCGCCTCGCTGACACTCTCCTGGTTCCTGTGCACAACTCGCTGTCTCAGGGCTTGGCTTGTCATTCTAGATTCTAGGCCGGCCTCAATTCTATGGGACATGAGTCTATCCTGCATAGCGGCATTCGAGGATCAAGGAGACAACATGTGTAGTTGCGCTGGACTCAGTTTTCCCGGCACTCGCCCCTACCAATATAACTATGCATTCGAGTATGTCTTTATATGTGCATATTATATTGCATTACACTACATTACACTACGTTAGTGTACGCTACAGAACTGTACATTCATACACTCACTTTCGAACACATACAGGCATGCATGCGCGTGTGCATGCATGTGATGTACATGTTTGCAAAGCCGGCCTGCCAAGAGGCTCGAACTTGATTCCGCCGGCCCAGGAGAAGCACAGGAACCAGTCCTCCGCTGTGGCGTTTGGGCATACGGCAAAGGGTTTAAGGTCTTGTTGTGTAGCTTTTTGGTGGTTTATGTCTTGGGGTTCAGGGCGCGGGTCGCTCTGTGCAGGGGACAACGCCCACGGTCCTTGTGCCGCACGACAGGGAACTTCTTGTCTGCAGAGGATGGGTTTGCGTAGTCCCTGCAGATGCGGTGAGGATGAAAGATAACAGTTGCTATGGGCATCAGACCGCCTGATCAGGGCCAGCACAGGTTCCCTCCACTTCTTCTCCCACTCGGGCCGGAACTTTGCCAGCACCTGGGGCAGTCCCAGGAAATCTGCTGCACAAGTTGTTTCATACTGCCTTCGCAATTTCCCGGGGGTGGCTACACTCGTGCAAGCCCAACGGCTTTTGTTTCTCTGAGTCTTCCAAGGCTTGCCAAGAAGCCGCTGTGGTGTAAATCCAATAGCCGTAGTGGAAGTGGTGGTCGTTGTAGTAGCCATTTCCGAAGTTGTAGCCTGCCATGTATGCATAAAGCAGTCTTGTGATCCGGCTCATCAACGCAACCGCAACTCGAGGAACTACCCCTTTGCACAAACCAAGCCCCTGTTCCCAAAGCGCTATACTAAACTTTGAAACCTGAAACGTGCTCACACAAGAAAACAACTCCCATCCATTCTGCCTACGTTACGCAGCGCCGGGCACGTCGAAGGCTTTGACGCATCGTTGGAGCCTCAGCTGAGGCCACCATTCTGGAAGTCGTGAACACTGGCGATTTCACACAAAATCAGTAGTAAGATATTTACAAGCAGGATAGGTATGCTTATATATACGTATACATAGGTAAATGTAGAGACAGGCTTACTGACACTGTATCACATGCCCGAACATCTTGAGTCCTGATACTCCTATCTCTTGATCCCTCCCCGATGCCAGCAGGAATGCTCCTTCTCTGATGAAATCCCAGGCACAGTGCGGAGCGCAGCTGTTCCAACAGTCGTCGTAAGTGCATCCGCAGGAGACCAAGCCTTTCACGGAAGCTTCGGGCTTGACTAGGGGCTTGAGGACTGAGCTTTCGTATTCTGCTGCAACCTAATAAGCATATATACACAGTCCTTACGTTACACATGTGTTTCTCCATAAACCAAATAAATAAATAAATAAATAAATAAATAAATAAATATAAATATATATATATATATATATATATGTGTGTGTGTGTGTGTGTACATATATACACAGGTGTGTGTGTATATATATATATATATGTATATTTGTATGTATAGCACTTCAGCCTCGATGCTCCTTTCAGCCAGAGATCTCATGCCAATCTGCCATGCTCCGAAAACCAACCTTGGGAACTTCACCCCGAGTCAGCCTCCCCAGGAGCGATCGTAAATGAAGGGGGTGCTGCCGCCTCAGCTGCGGCCACAAGATGGTGCAGAGTCGGACTCACAGGAATTTTCCCATGTGATGGAAACCATAGAAAAAGCTAAGACAAATTCTAAACCTGTCACCCATCCTTGCTCAGAGACCGGCTCTTTGTCAGCCACGCCTCGCAGGTCGTCTGCAGGTCGTCCAACATCCTCTTCACAAAATCCTGCTGACCCGGACATTCCAGCTCCAGTTTGGGCCATTGTGGCACAAGGGGTTCATCTAGTGAGAGAGGTGCTTGAAGCCAGCAGTCTCGCATCAGCCTCGTCGGACTTCCCCATCTCCGCGGCAATGGTCACAAGCCGCGCCTGAACTAAAGCCGGGACAACTTCATCAAGACGCGGTTCTCAATGCTGAGGTAGTGAGTTCGAAGGCGACACGCGAGCATAACTCACTCGATGCGGCGGCTAGTGGCTTGTTCAAGCTGACAAGCAGGGTGCGCCACTCAACACCCTTCGAACTTACGAGTGCGAGCACTCCGTACACCCGTTGAGACTTCAACTATACCTCTGGGCAGCCGGGCCATGCGGGCAGCGAGCTTGCCACTGAAGTATGTGTCGCCGACCTGGTGTTCAACCATTGCTGCTGCATGTGGCCGCTAGTTGTAGCACAAGACACCCCAGCTCCAAGGGCCGTTTCAAGTTTCTGCTGGCGCAACAAAGTTGCAAGGACTCTTATGCTCGAACCCCATGATAACCAGGGGGACTAAGTGGCAGATCGTTTACCACCACCTGCGGCCTCAGTCAGCACAACCAAGAGCACAATAAGCCGTGAAGGTCCTTCATTCTGCATTGGCCCTCACGGACATTCAGCACTCGCAACAAGAAACCAAGATCCCGGCTCCGAGCTTCACGTTCTCCGGGAGCTCGAACTCGCCTGAAGCTGAGGCGAGAGAAGGGCAGCCTAACTCAACCGGTTCCGTCAACAAAACATTCTGACCTACGCAACGCTTCCCGAGGTGGTTCCTGAAGAGTTTCTATGCATACGGTTGATACCAGTCGACGTAACGACGTAGCTGCCAAGAAAAGCAACAGGCGCAGAAAGGTATAGGTGTCCCCATTCGCATGGGGCTTGTTAAACCTGTCTGACCAAGCACTCAGAGATCGGAATGTTAAAGAAATCTGCAAGTCGATAGTATACACGCATACAGATGCCTATCGGCATTTACTGAACTGGCAAGCAATATGGCAGCCCACACACATCAAGAAACATACAAATCCTGGGCAAACTGAGCCCCTCCCTTGCAGAAAACCACAGAAATCGAAACCATGGTACTGCACCAAGATGCTGTCCGGCTTCTCACCGTCGAACTTTGATCCAGCCATGCGCCTCGATCTGACTATATGTAGGTGTACTTGTACTTGTACTTGTACAAACATTATCATCTAAAGGCAACCACACATGGCTAAAACATTATACTCTTTGATACATCTTTGTCGGAGAACTGCGAAAAATATCTGTCACAGCTGCTCGCTTCGTTAAGACTTCGCAGGTTATCTGAAATCGCTCAAGGTGCTCAAACTCCGATCCGCCAAAGAGCCCAGTACCCCCCTCCTCTCTAAAAAGTCCCCAAGTAAGAGGTGCATTCGGGCTGGAGGGGCATCCAAACATGCCGGCGGGACTCACCTCCTCCCATGAGTGCCTTGGAGAGCTGAGATTGCAAAGTTCTCAGAAAGCAGTAATATTAGAGTGACAGTAACAATAGCATGGCTACAATTGCAAACACAATCCAAGGACAATATAGCATCACCACAGTGGTCGTAGAAATAGCAACGGTGCGCAGCCACAGAAAATTATTTGTAAAGATCATAGTCATGGCTACAGAAATACTGACAAGCAGATGAGATGGTGATGAAGTAGAGAGCGCGCACGGCAAAGCTATCTCTCCGATCCTGCCTCTTCCAAAGCCTCTCGAAGAATCCCGCTGGTTGGCAGGGGATGCCGCCTGCACTCCAGGGTACGGACAAACGAACATGGGTGCGACAACTAAAGCAGATGGGCCTTGCAAAGTAGCAACCAAACAAGCTGAAACAAGGATGCAGCCAGAAAATGAAGGTCCCAAGCTCACCCGCCGAACTCTGCTGCAGGGTTCAACGGGTAGAGCTCGAAGTGCAGGACCAGTGGCTTCGTGACCACCTCGGCAATCTCACCAGGCCTATGATAACAACAGACCGGAACATGCCCAAATACCACTGGAACCCGGTAAACCATCGTCATGATCCTTATCACCTTCATCCTCATCATCATTACCATCATCATCGCTAACCCAGCATCTACCACGAGACCGACAGTAGGACTGCATTTCTCAATAGACCGAAAGCTCCGGGGCCCGGACGATCGGCTTGGGCAAGCCACCTTGGCTAGCGGGGCCAGGCGCGTTCCAGCTTGATGGGCTTACAGCGATGATGGTAATGACCCTAATATAGTACCCTAAATAGTAGGATCCTTATTATAAGGACCCCTAAATAAGGATCATCATAACGGTCATCTTCTTCTGCTTCTTCAACTTCATCTTCAGCTCTGTACGATCATGATTGTTGTCGTTGTTATGACCATCGTCATCCCACACGGTGCTGCCCTTGCTCTCACGACAAGTGGCGCAAGTCGCGGAAAGGCGTCTGGGTCGCCGAGTCTACGGCATCCCGCACCTGCGTTTCAAAAGATGGGCAGGAAAGCTGTGCCCACATCGTCCTGGCCTCCTCATCCAGCAGTGGCACATGGACAGGCCACAGCAGCTGCAGAACGGCATCCTCCGTCAGAGCTCTGAATATTGGCGCAAGTGCTACTAGGACTAGGAGTCGCGCATCCCTGTGGGCCTGCCGGTCAATTGTTAAAGTCTTGCTGATGCACTATCAAGCACAAGGCTGGTCGTGAGGAGATGCATGAGATTGAACTGGGAGTTCGGCAAAATCGGTGTCGCTGGGTGATGGTGCGGCATCGCAAAAGCTATGCTTCTTTTGCCCGCAGCACACAATCCGCGATGCGATACTGTGCGGGTCCGCTAGCCTCAGTTAGGCACGGGTTGCCAGACAGATTCGCCGAATACGGCGCCGAACATCTCTACAATAATGAGCATGATTCACAGCAGTCTGCCTTGCGGCCGCAATCTTCGGCATCGCCATCGTCGTCCCAGCAGTCGTCGTCGTGGTGGCAGTTTCCGTGGCACGGGTGTTGTAGTGTGGTGGTAGTAATAGCAGTAGTGATAGCAGCAGCAACACCGAGAGTCGTACCAGTACACTTCGCTGTTCGTCGTAGTCGTAGCCCTACCTTAGAATCAGTCGGTAGTGATGGTCGTAGTAGTAGTCGTCGTCGTAGTAGTAGTTTGTAAAACTAGTAGAAATAGACGTAGAAGTAGAAGCAGAAGTAGAAGTAGTAGTAGAAGAAGTAGTCGTCGTCGTCGTAGTAGAAGTAGTAGTTGCAGCAGTAGCAGTAGCAGTAGCAGTAGAAGAAATGGTGGTAGTTGAGGACGACGAGATTAATAAATAGCAATAATAAAGAAGAACAGTAGGAGCAGTAGTAGGAGTACCAGTAGCAGTGGCAGTAGCAGTAGCAGTAGCGGTAGGCAGTGGCAGTGGCAGTGGCAGTGGCAGTGGCAGTGGCAGTAGTAGTAGTAGTAGTAGTAGTAGTAGTAGTAGTAGGCGCCCCCCCCTACCAACTACACTTGCTTGAAACCATCTTAAGAGCACATCCGTTTTACTCGGTATTTACAGCACTTTCATCATGTACGATCATCATAAGAGGCCTCAAAATCCACTTGCCGAGTTTGCTAACTCGGCCTCTTGATTTTGGACTTGCTGCGGGGGGGGGGGGGGGGGGGGTGGGGGGGGGGGGGGGGG